ATGCCAACACTATTCACCTCACAGAGTTGTCATGAGGATCAATGGAGAGAGACATGAAAGAATTTTATAAATTCTGCATTATTGTAGAGATGTTAGTGGTTAGTTTATTGGGAAGGAGACACTCTGAGATGGAGTAGAAAGTGAGCAGCCATGAAGAAGTCCTCCTCTTCCTCTTCTTTTTGCTGTAAAGTCTATGGAAGTGCTTCTACTTCAGGGCAAGGGGGCTTTCTGCATGGTGCAATGTATGTGGGTGTGAAAGGACATCCCCTGTGTCACCCAAGCCCTCATTGATAGGCTTGCTAGGGGGCCTCACCTTGTCTGTTTTGTGGCAGAGCGCTGGTCACTATCCTCTCAGAAGGCCTGGGTTCTAGTGCTAGTCCCCCCACTAATTCTGTGTAGGCTTTGGCAATGCTGAGCCTGGATAAAGTTAAGACCTTGGGCTTTAAAGCTAGACAATCTAAATTTGAGTCCCAGCTCTGCCAGGAATTAGTGATGAGACCTTAAATGGTCACTTTACCTTCCTGTGCCTCAGTTTGCTCATCTGTAAAATAGGGATCATAACAATATCTGTCTCATAGGATTGTTGGGTGGATTGAATCATTTCATGCAGGTCAAGTACTCAGAGCAATATCTATTAGCTTTCACTGCCTGATGTTAGGTCTTTCTGTGTGTGTGTGTGTGTGTGTGTATGTGTGTGTGGTGTGCTGTGCTTCTTTCTCTGTAGTCTCTGTTGAGAAACCACTTTAGAATTTATAACTCAGGGCCTAAATGTGTGGTTGTCTTCTCCCAGATGTATTCTATTTCATCTTTGCTCTCCATTTTGCCCTCAGGGCACTTGGTTCCTGACTGGGCTGGGGCACTTGGGGAACTGTAAATGACAGGAAGGAGACTAAAGGAGGAGGAAGGAGGGTTTAGAAAATCCTCAAGAGGCACAGAGGTTGAGAGAGTCAGGCAGTGAAGGGGTCCTGTGGTTGAGATAAGGTCCTCTTAGGTTGATTCTGGTCAATTTCCTTCACAGACAGAGGGGCACACAAGCCTAGGCATGCCCAAGGTCACACACTTCCAATACATCAAGTCCTATTGATTCTGTTTTCTTCAAATATTTCAAAGGAGGAGAGGGTTTAAGGGAAGAAGAAGGGTCCACTGTGTCCAATACTGCTACTTCATAGCACGTGTCCCGATTTATAACTCAATATTTATTTGTGTGGTTATTTGTTTAGTATCGCTCTCCCTTGTGCCTTCATGAGGGCAAGGGTCTGGACTCTTTTATATTCAGTCTTAGCCCATGGTCTGAACACAGCAGGCATAGAGCCCAACCAACATACAATGAGACTGCAGAGAGGTGTCCCCTCCTCCGATGCCAAGACAGAATGTCCACGGACCTGCCACTTTCCTCACCACTCTCCCAACAACAATGAGGCCCAGGCAGCAAAAGTTAGATACCACCTGGTTAGCTCGAGTATGAAAGATCAAAGTTTATCCTACTGAAAAGAGTGGGGGCTCGAGAGCTGAGTTACAGACATATAATCTTGCTTTCACGTTTTGCACAATCCAGATCGTGACCTGTGAAGTTTGAATCTAGTGCACAAATCATTCCAGAGCAACATTCTCTCCTCATACTGTGAGCAATTCTCTCAGCCAGTGGAAGTCAGGGCAGGCTTCCCAGAAAAGGAGCCACATGGGCTAACAGTATAACAGGATGGGAATGTCAGACTCATGGGCCTTCTTGTGTCACTGAGTCCCTGCCAACCTGTCCACCTGTACTGATATCTGATCCTAATGCTTCCCTGAATGTAATTTGAGATTCAATTTTTACCAGTTGCTAAGGAGACCGAGAAAGCAGATAAGCCATTCTTTGTTAAAGAGGACGCTATCTTTTTTCATAGCTATGTAATTACTTTAATTTGGTTGTACTATAATTATCTATTAATTTATCTCTATCTTCAATGTGAATAATTTCTGGGTCTTTGTCATATTTTTGCCCTAAGCATTTAGAACAGAGTTTTGAAAGTACAGGAGGAACCCATTAGTACACAAACAAGTAGATGTGAGACAGGGTGTGTGGCGTGTTCTTCCAATATACAGTGTCTTCCTTCACACATGTAGCACAGCTGTTAGTATGCGAGTTTCTCCATGTTAGGTGTTCCCTTCTGTGGAACAAAGGAGCACAAAGATCATGGCTATTCTTTCCCCTTACAGAGTAAGGTCATTTGCATTGGATAGGACACAGTTCTGGCTACATTTTAGCCCCAAGCAATGACTGTCCTATCACCCATGGGATAGATCCCAATAAGCTGGACCAGGCCCTGAAGTGATTAGGGCAGGTGGATGGTCATATTAGGCTTGGTTAAAAAGTCGTCATATCTGAGCATGCACTTTGGAGGAAGATGAACGGACATTAGTTTCCACCGAGGTTTTGTTTCCAAGAAGAAGCAAGTCTGTTGTCTAGATGAGAGAATTAAGTTGTTAATAGTCACCAGATGACGCTCTAATCTTTCCTTGTTTGGATGTGTTCTGTGTACCTCTCTGGTTGAGACCATAGAGGGAAGATCCTACCCAACCATACCCTTAGTATCTTCCTGACTTGCATCTGTGTTTGTTCTTGCTGAGATGAAGTGAAGTCCTTTGTTCCGGAAGACCCATATGGGAAATACTGTGGGGGTGGCCATTGAGATAGGAACCAGAATTTTAACCAGTGTGCTCTTGCAGCTTTGAGCTTCACTAGTTTCCATAGTGGCCCTTACCAGGATATGGTAAACACTGGATATTGGTGTTTCAGAGCAGCATCAGACTTTTCAGTCTCCCTTCCTATTAGCTGATTTATAATATATTGCTGTGATCACTTCCAGTTGGGAAGCCACTTGCTGTCACTGATCCTCAGTTTCTACATCTGTAAACTGTGGATGGAAGTATGACCCTGTTTACCAGTGCCCAGGGAAGGCACCAAAAGGGGACAGAAACATATTGGAATTCCTGGGATTTTCTATCTTACCTTTCCTGGGGATCATCTTCCAGCTTCCCAGGACCGTCCTTTGTTGGAATGCCGGCTTGCAGCCACTTCCCTGCTTAATTCCCTCTCTGTAGGGCTCCATTATCCCGGGGATTCCAGAGGTAATCCACGTTCTGAGCACAGTTATGTGTCTCTATCCCTCCACTGGGAGGCTGCTCCTAAGGAAGGGGATTGTATGGCTTCTAGCCCACAGCCTGCAAGATACCTACACATAACATTCACCCATTTGGCCTTGAATCATTGCACGGATGAATAGATGTATTCATGCATTACACTTTCCAGTGGCAGCTGTGGATTTTAACAGGTGCCTATCCAAAGATGACAAACTGTGTTGGTAGAAATTTCAGGGTGCTTGACAAGCTCCCAAGTAAATTAAAGGAGGTGGATGAGATAGTTGGGACTTACTGCACTTTACTAATGAGACTTGCACCTACTCAGGCCACTTTTGGGCAGCCCTGGGGACTTTCAGGTCAGAGGGTTGGAAAGAGTTATCGGGAGGTGAGTATCACTTTCTACTCAGCCCTCAGAAGGGCTGAAAGTGAGAAAGGATAAAGAAAGAAGGAAGTGCACAAACAGCTTAAAAGTCTTCTGTTTGTATTGAGTTTAAACAACCTTTGAGGTTTTGCTTTTCACATAATCCGTGGTTTCAGGCCAAGTAGACACAGAACATGGGTCAGAGTGATGACAACGAGCTGGTATAGCTTCCAGATGGCCAGTGCTCAGATCTCTCCCATTAAGAATGTGGCAGGGGGCTCACAGGTGACAATGGCTGCTATTACAAGCCTCCTTTTTACCAGCTCCACACCACCCAGTATAAAATCCCCTACTCATCAAAAAGCAGGAAGCCATCTGCTCTGACCCCTTTGCACCAGAGAAAAAGATCATGTCATATTTTTGGAGTCTGGGTGCTATGTGTGCTGCCCACAGAGACATCAGCCATATTGTTGGTGGCTAAGCTAGTTGGGGTCTACTTGGGCATCCAGGCTGCTATTCTCTTCTTTGCTCCCTTCACACCTATTGTCGTTGGACATTGATCTTTCTAGAGAGATGGAGCCACTCGTTGGTCAAGGATCTGTCTAACTGGCTGTCTACTGCAGGACCCTTGGATTGGCTGGAAAGGAAGCAGCCTGAATTGATACCACTTGGTGCAGCCATCACCATACCATTCATGTCTGGCCTCTCCTTCAGGGGCCCTCTTGTCAACAGAACCGTAATGTATCAGCCTGAACATGCAGCAACGGTGGCCGAGGTGCATCTAGGCCCTCTTGTATTGGTAATCCAAGAAGATTGTGGGGTCATCAATAAGCCACAGCGAAAGGACATGCAGGGGGCCCAGCAATCTCATATCAACCAACTTAACTCCAACAACCTTTAGGGATGTCCTCAGCTTGGGACTAGGGACATAACAATGACTAATTCCCTGACTATGCCCCCGAGAAGCTCTCAATCTGGTAAGAAAACTAGGTGTGGAAACCAACAATGGTGCTGGAGTGTGGAGAGGGCAATAATAGAATTGTGCTTGTGGTGGGGCAGGGATGTTTCCTAGAGGAGGAAGTGGTTGTATCTGTTCAAGGAGGTTGGTGCGGAAGGACACTAAGGGAGGGGTTTCTGTCTGAGCAGAGTTTTGAAGGATGAGTAGGAGCCTTCTAAGCGGCACACAGGAATTTCTTGGTATGGGAAATTGCATGGGTAAAGATCAGTAGACCTAGTTTGTTTGAAGGATTTCAAGTATTTTGGAATGCAGCAAGCCATGGAGTCAAGGGCAGGTTAGAAATTGAAGGCCGGTGGCTTTACTTGAATTTCTGTAATATTTGGAATTACTGATAACACTGATTGAGCTGTTTATTGATTTTCCACAGAATATGAACTCAAAGGACATCAAACTGGGAGTACCCATGATGATTTGCCAAGTATCAGGCAGGGATGGCACCTGCAGGTGTAGCACAGGTGGCCCTTCTACTGGCTGCAGCTGCAGCACCGCCCCCTTTCCCAGCACATAAACCTTCCAGCCTCACTGAATCTCCACTGGGCTAGAAGGGAATCTCTGTACCCACAGGCCTGCAAACAGTAGCACAGACTGCTGAAAAGAAAACTCGGAGGAGACAATCTCGGAAGAAAAGTGGCCATGGACCTGATCCCAAGCTTTTCCACAGAAACCTGGGTTCTCCTGGCTATCAGCCTGGTGCTCCTCTATCTGTGAGTAACTGTCCAGGCTCGTGTCCTCTGTAACCATACACTTGGGGAGGTACTCAGGGTCCCCTTTCCCTTACCTGTTTTGAAGATTAAGCTAGTTAATGAAGGAGAAGTTGTTTAATTGTTGGGTGCTACAGTCACTTGGGGAGTTATTATTGATCTGACCCAGATCTGTTGAAGGAGTAACCCCCCCCCCACTCACAATTTCTGTAGCTAGTAGAGTTTAGAGACATTATTTGCCCCTGGGAATAATCTTCTGGTTGACTACCACTTTGGACCTTGACTAATGAAGCAGAATTCAGCAGCGACAGGTTAAAAACAAATGGCCTCTGGGCAGTGGTATCCTCATCTCTTCCCAAGGTCTAGGGATCCTGGAGGCAGGAGGAAGTGGCTTTGGATTTTGTTTCATTATCTTTGCCTTCTGGGTCCTGTATCTGCTGCAAGAGAGGCATAGAAGGACTGGATCCCGTGTCACTTGAGTATTTCCTGCTTCTCTCCCTCCCACCTACTGGCGTCATTTATACAAGGCACCTGGTGTACCCAGACTTGCAGGTGGGCTGGAGATTGCTCCTCCTCTCTCCTCAGACTCAGCTCTTCTATTTTCTGTGCCCCTCTCCTGGGAATCCCCTTCTAAGACTTATTCCCACATCCTGTAATATGCAGAACTATTTACCTCTTAATGACAAGTCTTTAGAGCAGAGGAGACCCAGTAGAAATCTTGAAATTGTAGTATTTTCTTTCACCTTTTACTTCCAGTCTCTGGGAGGGTTAGCATCAGTATAGAGATTTCTTTTCCCTCAATATGAAATCTGCTAGCAGCCTGCAAAGGCACGAGCCCCATAAGCCAATTTGGATTTTAAATATTTTTTTCCCTTTAAGTTACAGTGCAGGAGGATAAATCAAAACCATCCAGAAGAGGAATTCCTCTCAGTGGTGGGATCCTGGTATGGAGTAGGTTGACAGAAGAGATGTTTTTGACACGTGGGTAGGGAAGGGCCTCCACGTCATATTTGACCTCAGTCTCAATTTCACATTCTGAGAGTAGGAAATCATGAACACAGATGTGAACATAGGAAATATAAATCTGGTTTTAATTCATTGAAAGTAATGTTAGGAATTCTAGGTATAGTAGCAACATATTTTCTGACTGATGACATTTTAAAATTAATTGATGTGGTTTAATTCCACTCTATTTAATACTAGATTATTTGCTGAGATAAGACTGTTTCCAGCATGTACTTTCTGAAGGATAAAAGAAGGCTGTTGGTTCAGGATTTGTGACTACAAAAGTGCATAAATAACCTCACCCTTCTGGAAAAAAGTCAAGAATATGAATCTAGGGTGCAAATATATACTTCCATGATATAATTGCATATATATTTTAAAATATACCTGTCCAGCAGGTTCTTCTAATCTCTCAGCGCAGGTGAGTAACTGAGACTGTGAGCCAGTGATGGTATGAGAGGCATCCAGGTAGGAGTTAGGATGGAGTGGAAGAATATTTCTTATCCTTCAGAGCAGAGATACTCCTCTGTCCTGGTCCCACAGGAGGTCCCTCACAGGGCAGTAGGGTTAGCATCTCATCTGCTTGAAACCTGGACAGGGACACCATCTAAGTCACTCTGTGTGTGGTCTGTCTGGCAGTAGGACTGTAACTAGATACTGCCGCCACTGGACAAACAACACTGTAGCCTTAGAGACGCTGATGCAGCCAAGAGTCTGTTGCTGTAGAGTAGACAATACCCTCCTTATGTCAATACAATGTAAACATAATAAAAATGGTTGGCCTTATTCTTAGCCCCTTCATTTGTACCAAAAGCAGCATTACTCTACCAAAAACAGGGAAGCTGGAAATAAACTGAGGAACTCACCCCGCCCACCCTCTGCCTTGGTTTGGAAGCATGCGTGTTTAGACACTAGACCATATCTTTCCTTGGGGATCACTGTTGCTGACATTCACTCAATTGCTTGGCCTCACTTGAGAGTTCATGTAGCACATCGAAAGTTCAGAAGCAGAAATTGGTTTAAGTGAATTGCATGGTTGTGATGGCAAAGGAAGGAACTAGGTGGAACTAACCGAGGCCACCCCTGGTTCTGGCAGCCAGTGCTCATGCTTCCATCAACTGCACTGGAGGAAGGATCCAAATGCCCAGCTGGGCCTGGCCAAGGTGCCTCTGCTGGGTACTTCAAACATACATCCTTTCATGTAAATTTTTTTGGATTTATTTTATCACATATTATAAGATTTTCTGGATTTATACAGAGTATTTGGAACCTGTACTGCCTTAAAGTCTAACTTCCAAAGAAGAAGAGACAAGGTCTTAATTGAACTCTCTAGAACATTTTATGGTTACTCATTACGTTTCATAACACATCTTTTGCTATCAACAGGAAAGTATCTGAACTTTAGAAGGCTGCCTATATTTTAGCTGAAAGCACTTGTAAGGCATGTTGAACTATTTATACATAACGTACTTTTCAGCCATACTTTCCTAATTTGCCTCCACAGAGTTAGCCTTGTAAGCCTAGCAACTTCATGGTTAAAATTGTTGCTGGCAGCCTCTTCCCTAAGCCTCTCTTCTCCCTCCATTCTGCCACCTCTCAGTAAAAAGAGTGAGTGAGAAGGCTTGCAAGGATCCAGAATCCCCAGTTGTGGGATTCCACACATGACACATGAAAGATGAGTTACTGGCAGACCTCCCATAGGGCGCACCAGCCTTAATGGGTTCTTGAGACAGTTGATGCACCGAGGCAGTGAAGTAACTGCTTTGTGAGGGACCATCTTGAAAAAGAAGAGCATTCCTGGCATTGTGCTTAGCAGGTGAGTGTCAAGGTTGGAGGACCAGAGCCCATGAGGGGAAGAATTATCTGCAAGTGGATTCTTTAGTCATTGGTTCCTTTATACAGTATCATTCAGGGAGCATATGGGCCAATCACCCTACTCTTTAGCTCGAGTCAAGCAAATTGCCTAACGACAGAGACTTGGGTGTAGCTTAAAGACACTTACATTTCTCTGAGGCCAATGGAAGCTTGAACATGGTTGTCATTCTATAGAGATAAAAAAACTGGCTGCCCCAAGGCCTCTCTATGAAGATAGATTTAAGAAGGACCAGATCCTAAAATGGAGTCAAGGCATAGAGGGAAGGAAAAGCATAAAAGCCTCTGAGAAAACTGTAAGAACAAAGTCATGGTAGGCTTTCAGTAACTCTCTTTCATTGAGTGGACACAGTTATGCCAAATCTCATTGGAGGAGAAAAAGAAATTTTTCCCCTTTCTACCTAGAATGAAAATCTCAAGATCATGGGAGAGTCGACTTACTAAATATACACTAGTGAATTCCCTGGAAGAATTCCAGCCTGAACCTCTCACGAGCACTTAAGTTTGGAAACATTTATCAAGTCTTCACTCTAGGATTGGGACCACAGAGACTTCAGCTGCTTTTATCTACTCATCTTTACTTTGTGTGGTCTCGCAGTGGAGGTGGGAAAGGAGATGATGAGTGAATGTAATTATTGCTGTTGGAGTTGCTGTTATTATTTATCATCTACATGTTACCTCCCTCACTTGACTGTTCCAGTTCTGAAACAGGGACTGGCCAACCCCAGCACCTACTCCACAATCCCTGCAACCTGGCTTTCTCTTTCACTTTATAGATATGGGACCTATTCACATGGACTTTTTAAGAAGCTGGGAATTCCTGGGCCGACACCTCTGCCATTTTTTGGAACAGTTCTGGGCTACCTTAAGTTGAGTATTTTATAAGCTCCCTCTTTTGCTTCTTATGGTTGCAAATCCCAGATTAGTTTTATAGTAAAAATATCCCTTCTCAGGAGGAAGTTCTGAGGTTTCACACTTCAAGAAATGGTGTCATAGGCCCCACCCAGCACATGGCTAGGTTTACTCCAGGGATCTGTTTTCAGCTGTTATGAAACTCAGGTTTTGCCTCAGTTGGACAGCCCCGCTCTCTGGCTGATTCAGCCCAGGACTTGGTGTTCCAACTTGTGAGCATTTTGAAGAGGATTTTCTTTCTTCCAGGTGCAGATTCCCAGGAAGGCACAATTGTGCTGAATATTAGGAGAAAAGAATAAAGAGAATTTCCAGGATTAGCTCATTAAGCTATGTATACTAGAGTCAGACTTTACTGTTCATAGCATAAGCTCTGCATATCATTATTTTCTTCTTCTTCTTCTTTCTCCTGTGTAGCTTTGAAATTTCAGGCTATTAGGCAGCGCCAGTATACACTGTTGGGTAATTTGCTCATACTTGAATTCTCTCAAGAACTGTTAAACTCCTGCAGTTGTATTGATGGCTGTAACTCACCTTTTGTTACCAGTGACGTCTTTTGAGATTTGACAAATGGAATAAGAGCTTTCTTCTTTACTTCACTGCCTTCTCAGGAGGCTCCCTATGGGTGCATCTGAGCAGAGAGTGGGTATACTGAGAAAAGATAATAGTTGTCTATGGACTTCAGATAGACTTCGAGTTTTTGTGTTTTTTTTTTTTTTTAAGGCAGAATCGCTTATAAAAAATCCCTAGAAGGGAGATGATTTGACAAAATTATTAAAAACTTAATGTAACTGAACAGAATGTGGTAGGTCACACAAGGACTGTAGGTTTTGGCAGAGCCTTTGTGGTTAATCCAGCTCCGATCCCTCTCCCAGGGCCTGGCCACTGGATAGAAGGTTACAACCTCAGGTCCAGAAGGCCAGTAGGGAGAACCTTGTGTGCAGGCTGCTCTTTGCCTCAGATTTCATTTTCCACAGATCTGAGGCTTATTTCTCAGGTCCCAGTTCTTCCAACTAAGGCCTTCAGGGCCTAAATACTGCCTAAGAAATTTTGGTCTTTTTTGTCCTCTGAAAAAGCAATAATTTCCTTTCCACCTTTCCCAGATCAGCTCCTTAGTAGATTCCCCCCAAGATCTATATTCCTGGGAACTTCTTTTATATTGTCAAAACATCACAACTGAAACTTAGTGATGGGAAGATTGTTTTTAAGTTACGGAAGCGAAAACTCAGAGCAAGTGTTTTAATTTGCTTTGTCCTATGTGGACTAGTGGCTTCTCCCCATCCTTTCCATGTTGAGCTGGAAAACTGGAAGGCAAGTCTACTTTGTCATTCATTCATTCATTCACTCACTCACTTTTTCGCTCAAGAAACATGTCTTAGACTTATTTAAATCTGCTAGATCAAAAAGGTCGCTGGTGTCTTAAACTTCCTAATTCTCCTGGAATTCTAGAGAGAACTCATGAGATAAATGAAAAGGATGCTTAACTAGGAGATCAAAGATTGTGCAGGCCACTCTTGCTTTCCCTCAACTTCAGTTTTCTCGTGAAAACACTTTAGAAAGAGAGGGAGTTACTGAGTATTCATGACATGCGTAAGTCATTTAGTATCTACAATACCCGGAGAAAATTCTAGAGTGATTTTAAATGCTCCATTTCAAATATCTCCTCTATTTTCTTTCCTTAACCCTTAACATGTCTCTGAATAACAGCTTCCCTCTAACTGCCGGTCAAAGATAGTAAGCCCAATTTCATGGGATTTGAGTCATTTCTGTCCCAATTAGAGGTAGATTTCAATACATTTAGATTAATAATTGAATTTGTTTCTCCTTGCAGGGTTTTTGGGATTTTGACAAGAAATGTTTTAAAAAATATGGAAATATGTGGGGGTGAGTATTCTAGAAACTTTCATTGGATAGACTTGTTGTTATGATGATGTCCTCATTGCATGGAAGACAATCTCAGTCCAGAGCCTCTTTTAGAAATTTTGGAAACAGGGAATGAAATTATTCAGATCCTACTATCACTTTTTGAGCATTCCAAATCTGTCTCCATTTGTAGACACACTTTTATATATTTGTGATCAGTATGTCTACAGTTTTCATCTCATATTATGTCATATTTTGATAGATCACCAAAACTATAATTTTTCATGACTGAGTGGGTGGACTTTCCTTAATTAATTATTGTTTTTCTCTTAGATAATTTACTTATCTTAAATTATTTACTAACCCAACTTTCTTTTTATAATGAAATATTTTAAACATAGAAACAATTATGGAGAATGATATAGGAAATACCCATGTACAAACCACCTAGACTTAACAAATGTTCTAATGTTATTTCCAACCATGATCTCTAGGAGTATGGATTATGTAACGTCGGGATGAAAGTCTGGACTTCCAAGCATGGCTCCAGCTGTAGAATCTGGCTTGTTAAATTTAATCAATTCTGTTTCCCTAACAGGTTTTATGATGGCCCACAGCCTGTATTGGCTATCACAGATCCAGACATGATCAAAACAGTACTAGTGAAAGAATGTTACTCTGTCTTCACAAACCGGCGGGTAGGCATCCATTTTTTAAAATTATTTTATTGAGATCATAATTATAACATTGTATAAATTTCAGGTGTATGTTATTATATTTCAGTTTCTGTATAGACTGCATCACGTTCACCACCACTAGTCTAGTTTCTATCCATCACCATACAAATGTGTCCCTTTATCTCTTTCACCATCTCTCCACCTCCTTCTCCTCTGGTAGTCACTAATCTGTTCTCCATCTATGTGTTTATCTTCCACATATGAATGAAATCATACAGTATTCGTCTTTTTCTGCGTGACTTCTTTCAGTAAGCATAATATCCTCAAGGTCCATCCATGTTGTTGTAAATGAGATGATTTTGTCTTCTATATGGCTGAGTAGTATTCTACTGTGTGTATATATACACATCTTCTTTATCCATTCATCCATTGATGGGCACTTGGATTGCTTCCACTTCTTCGCTATAGTGAATAGTGCTGCAATGAACATAGAGGTGCATAAATTTCTTTGAATTGTTGATTTCATGTTCTTCGAATAAATACCTAGTAGGATGAGAGAAGGATCATATGGTATTTCTATTTTTAATTTTTTGAGATATCTCTGTAATGTTTTCCATAGTGGCTGCACCACTTTGCATTCCAACCAGCAGTGTATGAGGGTTCCCTTTTCTCCACATCCTCTCCAGCACGTGTTATTTCTTGTCTTGTTAATTATAGCGATTCTGATGGTGTGAGGTGATATCTCATTGTAGTTTTGAACTGCATTTTCCTAATAATTAGTGATGCTGAACATCTTTTCATGTGCCTGTTGGCCATCTGTATATTTTCTTTGGGAAAATGCCCATATCATCTGTCCATTTTGGATCGAGTTTTTTGTTTTCTTGGTGTTGAGTTGTAGGAGTTCTTTCCATATATTGGAAATTAACCCCTTGTTGGATATATGTTTTGCAAATATTTTATCCTGGTTGATAGATTGTCTTTTCATTTATTGATTGTTCACTTTGCTGTGTAGAAGAATTTTAATCTGATGTAGTCCCATTTGTTAACTTTTCCTTTTGTTTCCCTCGCCTGAGTAGACATGGTATTCAAAAAGATACTGCTAAGACCTATGTCAAAGAGTGTACTGCCTATATTTTCTTTTAAGAGTTTTATGGTTTCAGGTCTTACCTTGAAGTCTTTAATCCACTTTGAGTTAATTTTATGTATGGTGTAAGATAATGGTCTACTTTCATTCTTTTGCATGTGGTTGTCCAGTTTGCCCAACACCATTTATTGAAGAGACTTTCCTTCTCCATTGTAGATTCTTGGCTCCTTTGTCAAAGACTAGCCATACATAGATGTGTGGGTTTATTTCTGGTCTCTCAATTCTGTTCCATTGATCTGTGTGTCTGTTTTTGTGCCAGTACCATGCTGTTTTGATTACTATAGCTTCGTGGTATAATTTGAATTCAGAGAGTGTGATACCTCCAGGTTTTTTTCTTTTTCTCAGGATTCCTTTGGCTATTCAGGGTCTTTTGTTGTTCCATATAAATTTTAGGACTCTTTGTTCTATTTCTGTGAAAAATGTCATTGAGACCTTGATAGGGATTGCATTGAATTTGTAGATTGCTCTAGGTAGTATGGACATTTTAACCATGTTTATTCTTCCTATCCATGAACATGAAATACCTTTCCATTTCTTTATGTCATCTTCGATTTCTTTCAATAATATCTTATAGTTTTCAGTGTATAGGTCTTTCAGCTCCTTGGTTAAATTTATTCCTAGGTATTTTATTCTTTTTGTTGTGATTGTAAATAGTATTGAATTCTTGACTTCTCTTTCTGCTAATTCGTTATTAGTGTATAGAAACAGAACTGATTTTTGTACGTTGATTTTGTACCCTGCAACTTTAGTGTATTTGTTGAGTATTTCTAACAGTTTTTTGGTAGATTCTTTAGGGTTTCCTATATTTAAAATCTTGTCATCCTCAAATAGTAGGAATTTTACTTCTTCCTTTCCAATTTTGATCACTTTTATTTCTTATTCTTGCCTAATTGCTCTGGCTAAAACTTCCAGTACTATATTGAATAACAGTGGTGTGAATGAGCATCCTTGTCTTGTTCCTGTTCTCAGAGGAATGGCTTTCAGTCTTTCACCATCGAGTATGACATTGGCTGTGGGTTTGTAATATATGGCCTTTATTATGTTGAGGTACTTTCTTTCTATAACTATTTTACTGAGAGTTTTTGTCATAAATGGATGTTGGGTCTTGTCAAATGCTTTCTCTGCATCTATTGAGATGAACATGTGATTTTTATTCTCCAATTGTTAATGTGATGTATCATATGGATTGATTTGCAGATGTTGAATCATCCCTGCATCCCTGGAATAAATCCCACTTGATTGTGCTGTATGATCCTTTTAATGTATTGTTGTACTTGATTTGCTAATATTCTGTTGATGATTTTTGCATCTATGTTCATCAGTGATATTGTCCTGTAATTTTCCTTATTTGTGTTGTCCTTGTCTGGTTTTCATATTAGGATAATGTTGGCCTCATAAATTGAATTAGGAAGTGTCTCATCCTCTTCAATTTTTCAGAATAATTTGAGAAGGATAGGAATTAAATTTTCTTTCAATTTTTTGTAGAATTCACCAGAGAAGCCGTCTGGTCCTGGACTTTTATTTTTCAGGAGGTTTTTGATTACTGTTTCAATCTTTTTACTTGTGATTGGCCTATTCACTTCTTTATTTTGTCTGGATTCAGTCTGGGGAGGTTGTATGATTCTAAGAGTTTATCCATTTCTTCTAGGTTATCCACTTTTTTGGCAATTAGCTTTTCATAGAATTCTCTTATGATCCTTTGCATTTCTGTGGTATCTGTTGTAATTTCTCCTCTTTCATTTCTGTTTTTATTTATTTGCATCTTCTCTATTTTATTCTTACTGAGTCTAGCTAAGGGTTTGTCAATTTTGTTTATCCCTCAAAGAACCAGCTCTTAATTTCATTGATCCTTTCTATTGCTTTTTTATCTCGATTTCTTTTATTTCTGCCTGATTTTTATCATGTCTTTCTTTCCATTGGCTTTGAGCTTTATTTGTTAGTCTTTTTCTAGTTCTTTTAGATACAGTGTTAGCTTGCTTATTTGAGATTTTCCTTGTTGCTTGAGGTAGCCTGTATTGCTATAAACCTCCCTCTTAGTATGGCTTTTGCTGTATCTCATAAGTTTTGGTATGTTTTGTGTTCATTTTCATTTATCTCCAGGTATCTTTTGATTTCTCCTCTGATTTCTTCATTGATCGAATAGTAGCGTGTTGTTTAGTCTCCACATATTAGTGACTTTTCCGGCTTTTTCTTGTAGTTGATTTCTAGTTTCATAACATTGTTGTCAGAAAAGACGCTTGATATAATTTCAAATTTTCTCAATTTATTGAGGTTTGCTTTGTTTCCCAACATATAGTCTGTCTTTGAGAATTTTCCATGTGCACTTGGGAAGAATGTGTATTCTGCTATTTTTGGATGGAATCTTCTATATATATGAAGTCCGTCTTGTCTAGTATTTCATTTAAGGACACTGTTTCCTTGTTAACTTTCTGTCTTGATGATCTATCCATTCATGTAAATAGGGTGGTAAGTTCCCCTACTGTTATTTTGTTGTTGTCAATTTCTCCCTTTAGGTCTTTTGATAGTTGCTTTATATACTTTGATGCTCCTGTGTTAGGTGTAAATATATTAGTAAGTATTATGTTATCTTGGTGGAATGTCCCTTTTATCATTATATAATGGCTATCTTTATCTCTTATTATCTTTTATATCTTGAAGTCTGCTTTGTCTGATATAAGTATGGCTACATATGCTTTCTGTTGGTTGCCATTTGCTGGAAGTATCATCTTTCCTTCTGTTACTCTGAGCTTATGTTTGTCTTTAGAGCTGAGACATATTTCCTGGAGGCAGCATATTTTGGGGTCTTGTTTGTTAATCCATCCAGCCAGTCAGTGTCTTTTGATTGGTGAATTAAATCCATTTACATTTAGAATATTGATATAAAAGGGGGCTTAAGAGTGCTAGTTTATCTTTTGTTTTCTGGTCATTCTAATTTTCCAGTTTCTTTTTCCTTGTATTTCTGTCTACCATATCATTTTGGTGGTGTTCTGTGATTGTTTTCTCAGTTTACCACTTATTTATGATTTTGTACTCTCCTCTGATTTTTTGTTTTGTGGTTACAATGAGGTTTGTATAAAAGATCTTATGGATTACCTAGTCCTTTTTCTCATAGCCTATTATCTCCATTAGCCTATGCACGTTCCACCCATTTCCTTTCCACCCCTTCTATGTTTTTGTTGTCACAAATTATTCTTTTTGTATTGTGAGTTTGTGACCAAATTGACGTGTTTGTAGTTAACTTTGATGATTTCTTTCCCTTTAGCCTTTATGTTATAATTAAGTTATAACTAACCTATTCTGATATAGAGCTGCACTTTTCTGATTTTTTCTGTCCTTGCTCAAAGCTTTGTAAACCTTTGCCTTTTTGTTTCACGTAGGAAGGCACCTTTCAACATTTCTTGTAAGGCAGGTATAAGGGTGATGAACTCCTTCAGCTTTTGTTTTTCTGGGAAAGCCTTTATTTATCTGTCATATCTGAAGAATCATTTTGCTAGATAGAGTATTCTTGGCTGATAGTTTTTGTCTTTCAGTATTTTGAATATATCATTCTACTCCTAGCCTGTAGGATTTCTGCTGATAAATCTGCTGAATGCCTATTGGGGGTTCCTTTGAAGGTTATTTTCTTCTCTCTTTCTTTGTCATTGATTTTTGACAATTTTAATATTGTATGCCTTGGAATGAATCATTTTGCCTTGATGTAATCAGGAGTTCTATTGGCTTCATGTACTTGCTTGTCTAGTTCCCTCCCTAGGTTTGGAAAGTTGTCAGCTATTATTTCTTTGAGTAAGCTCTCTGCTCCTTTCTGCTTCTCTTCTCTGTCTGGAATATCTATAATCTTTTTGTTACTTTTCCTAATTGAGCTGGATATTTATCAAAG